TGTCACCGTCCACTTAACAGCAGCAGTACCAGTCAGGGCAGTTAGGTGTGGGTAACAACTTAGTCTGAATGGTCAGAAATCTTAAAACTGTCCATTTATTTCTGTGGCACATCAAAACTACAAGAGTACATGATAAACAAAACACTCTGAAAAGTCCAGGACCACATTTAATTGAAAGAAGGAATTCTTTAGCTATTTTATATTTGTGATTTTCAGATTTTATTTTTGGGGGGGCGGGGAGGCCCACAGTGCCCGGCTAGTTTTTGGTTGCGGCCATCATTGTTGTTTGGCGGCCCCGGCTGGATTCGAACCCACTAGCTCAGGTGTATGTGGCTGGAGCCTTAGCCGCGATTTTCAGATTTTAATTTAGCTTTCCCTACACCTCAAATTTAAAATACTGAATTGAATAACTGCATTTAAAATACTCTACTGCTAAAAAATGTCTTATGTGTTATTCTATTCATAAAAAATCATGTAAATAAAAACTCCCAGGATGAAGGTTTGCCGATATGTAATTTCAAGTTATAGCAAGAAGGCGAATACTCTGTATTTGAAGACATGTTTATTACGTACCTCTATTTAGATATCATTTAAATGATTTTTTCTCCTAAAAAATGCTATGCTATTGTGTGTAAAAACCCCACACTGTACCCCAGAAGTGCATTAATGTACATAGTTACCATTCAATAAAAAAAAATGCTATGCTATTATTCTCAGCGATTCTTTCAATGATGCTATTTTGACACAGGCTGAGACAAAGGCTGGTGAAGGGCATTATGGGTTCAGTGCTGCTGTCACTCCAAAATCATATTAAGCTGCAGAGAAACTGTGTAAACTCCTGAAGTGTGCGGGTGGAATTGCATTATATTTGCTGAATGTCCACACTGCTTGCCAACTGGCTTATCTTCATGCTAGTTTGAGGTCTACGTTGAAACATATGTAATCAGTTGATTTGATAATTTGGTCAATATTAAATTGAACTGCCCCAGTGAAGCTGATAGAGTTAGGGCCATTATAGCATCTGTCAATTAAGAAAGCTCAGCTCAAGGGTTGTCTGGCAGCCCTGGAACAGGTCCAGAACTTTCTGATAGTGTAGCTCAGCTGCTCCCGTTCTGCCCACCTGGAGGGCTGGCCTCACGGTTGTCTGCTTGTCTAAATAAAAACTCTCAGTATTAAGATTCACTGAGACCACTGAACCTTTCTTCTTCGGAGTTCTTGTAGCAACTATAATAACCAATACCCACTAGCCTCATATGGGTATTTAAGTTTAAATATATGTAAAATTAAATTAAAGATTTGTTTTGCTAGTCATGTTAGTCATATTTTTTAAGTGCTCAGGAATCACAAGTGTCTAATGAAGATATTGGAGAGTGAAGATTTAGAATTTTTTTTCTTTTCCTTTTTTTTGCAGTTTTTTGGCTGGGGCTGGGTTTGAACCCACCACCTCCGGTATATGGGGCTGGCATCCTACTTCTTTTGAGTCACAGGCGCCACCCAAGATTGAGAATATTTTATCATTGCAGAAAGTTTTGTTGGGCAGTGTTGAGGAGGACCAATTCACCCTCAAGCATATTTCTGTTCATGCTAAACTAAGGCCATGTGATACTGCTATCATTAAATAAAACAAAAATTAGTTACATAAATCATGAGTTTCAAAAACCTTTACATATATACATACATATATACAGGCATACTTGCCAATAATGTGGCTTCCATTCCAGAATGCCGCAATAAAGTAAATAAGGTAATTAAGAGATTCACGAGAGGCTTGGTGTCCATAGCTCAGTGAGTAAGGTGCTGGCCATATACACTAAGGATGCTGGGTTCAAGCCCATCCCGGGACTGCTAAACAACAACAACTGCAATCAAAAAATAGCTGGGTATTGTGGCAGGTACCTGTAGTCCCAGCTAGTTGGAAGGCTAAGGCAAAAGAATCCCTTATGCTCAAGAGTTTGAGGTTGCTATGAGCTGTGATGCCACAGCACTCTACCAAGACCAACATAGTGAGACTCTGTCTCCCCTCCCCCAAAAAGACTTTTTCATTTTCTGAGTGCAAATAAAAGTTATGTTTGTCTTAAACTGTAGTCTGTGACATATATAATAGCATCATCTCTTAAAAGAGTAATATATGGCAGATACCTTAATTTAAAATAGTCTATTGCTAAAAAATACTGACAATGATCTAAGGCTTCAATAAATCTTTTTTTTTTTTTTTTTTTTGCAGTTTTTGGCCAGGGTTGGGTTTTGATTTAAAGTGAGAGATGAGGTCTCCTCCCAATTGTCTAATTTCAATATTTTGTGGTCTCAGGGAATTGGGAGGATTGAGGCAAGGGAAGGGCCAGTCAGTGGAGCAGTCAGGACAGACACTTATCAGTTAAGTTTGCCATCTTATATGGGTGTGGTTTGGGGTGTCTGCCCCCCGAATCATAACAGCAGCATCAGAGGTCACTGATGGCAAATTATCATGTCAGATATAATAATAAAAATGCCTAAAACTTTGAGAATTACCAACATGTGACAGGGACAAGAAGGGAGCACATAGGGTTGGAAAAATGGGGCCAACAAGGTTCTGTGTGTGAACAACACAGAGTCTATGAAAGCACAGTAAGGTGAGGTAGGACTGGACATACATGCTGGACTTCTGTACATTTATCATGTGAGCATAAACTGTGATGTTTTCAGAGTGGAATATAAATAGGCAGCTTTTCTTAAATGTTTGTTATAAGATTTTGTTTAAGAAATATTTCCAGGAATACAGGGAAAGGGGAGAGGGAGGGCAGGGGAGGGGAGGAGAGGGCAGGGGGGAGGATGGGTGGAGGGGGGAGGATGGGTGGAGGGAGGGCAATTGGTGGGTTCAGGGCAAGTAATCAAAGAGACTCACTTGTAATTAATATTAATAGCAATAATCAATTCAGAGAAAAATGTGAAAACTAATACACTTTTAGTGCCAAAACATTTTATAATCTAAATTATGCACAATTTTTTTTGTAACACAGAATGATACAGTTTCCTGATGTACTAGAAATAGGAATTCAAGGAGAAAATGGAAATTAAGGAGAATCTTGCTTTTGTGACTTTTAAAATTAGATCCACGAAGGGGAGGCAGGAGGGTTGAGGGGGATCACGGTGTGTGGCACACCTCTTGGGGACAGGACACAATTATAAGAGAGATGTCAGCCAATGTAATCAGTGTGACCTAATTCTTGTACCCTGAATGAATTCCAAACAATTAAAAAAAATTAGCTCCACTAAATACATTTAAAATAATAGGAAAGTTTTGTCTTACTAGTCAATATTCACAAAGTGCCGTCAGTTGCATCTTTTTTAACCACCTGCAGTCATTAAAAAAAGCATTAAATGCCAACTGAAAAGTGTTTGGGGGTAGCTGGGTGCAGTGGCTCACCCCTGGAACCTAGCACTTGGGAGGCAGAGGTGGGTGAATTGCCTGAGCTAATAGTTTTGAGACCAGCCTGAGCCAAAGAGAGATCTGGTCTCTAAAAATAGCCAGGCATTGTAGCCAGTGCCTGTAGTCCCAGCTACTTGGGAGCCTGAGGCAAGAGAATCACTTAAGTCCAGGAGTTTGAGGTCACTGTGAGCTGTGATGTCATAGCACTCTACCTGGGGTGACAAGTGAGACTTTGTCTCAAAACCAAAACGAAACAAAAAAGTGTTTGGAAGAGTGTATAGTTTTTGAAAATTCTTTCTTTTATTAACAAGCATGGGGTGTCTCATATCATCTTTTTGTAGTATTTTAAAATGTCATAAAAATACAATTAACAGGTACACTATCTTGAATTTTGTGAGCCAGTGTGTTATACATGTATTAACTCACATAATTTTCATAAAACCATTCTGACTGATACTATCCTCATTTCCACTTATAACAAGAAAACTGAGGCGCTGACTGGTCAAGGTTACCCAGGTACTGAAAAGCAAAGCTGAGGTTTAACTTTGGCCAGACGAGGTTTTAGACCTCACATCACGACCCACATCACAAGACACCGAATGAAACAGATTTTTCCTACATAAATTGGCCAGTGTTCAAAGCTTGTCTTTTCAAGTACATTAGCGAGTCTCGGAAGGCAAGACTATCCCTTCAACTTCTCTGCATTCCACAATACATCAGATTTAGTTTTAGACATAAAACATCTTTAATTAACATTTTCTGTTTATCCATTTAGATTATTCAAGAATGTCTCTATGCGACCTAATAATTTCGAGCAGCTCCCTAGGTATATGTATGATCTAGGAATAATAGTAACTTTCTATTCTACTTTTTGGAAGAGATCTAGAGCCATATTGATAAGTGAAACAAGTTTAATAGTGCTTATCTCTTGAGTAGTTTGATTCATGGTTACTTTTATTTCTTTTTGCAGAAATAAAATAGCACAATTGCTTACATTTTCAGAGTTAGATTTTCTATAGCAGACCTGTATTACTCTTGTAATAAAAGAAGAAAGTAGTATTTATTAAAACACTATAATTCACACATACAGAGAACAAAGGTAAAGAGAAGGGGTACAGACAAGAAGGGCACAGGAAGATCAGCACAAAATCCCCAGGACATGAGGCGAGGCAGAAGGTTTGGGCTGAACCTTGGGAGGGCCCCTTTCTCCTTACCTGGTACAGGGAAGCCACAGGGCCCTGGCAGCCCTAGAGAAGGGCGTATGTTAAGATAAGGCAAAAGCAAAACATTGTACTTGTTAGAAGGTATTTAAGGCATTTCCAGAAATTGTGAACTTTACGGTTTTCATACATTTTCAAGAAAACTTTGCTCTTTCCAGTGGATGATTTTTGAGATGTATTTGAAAAGCTTAGTTCTTTACTTGGCCCCTCAAGTGACTACCCTGTCTTGTCCGTGCATGGGTGGGGCAAGGTCATTACTTACTGGGCTTTTCAACTATACCTTGGAAGTCCAGTGGTAAAATGGCTGTCTTTTCCTTTTTTTACTTAATAAAGTAATCTTTAGAAAAAGCAGTAAAAACGATGAAAGACAATACCTTGACACGTAAATTTTTTGGAGGGAGTTGTGAGTAATAGTTTATCAGCCATTTCTCCAGGACCAGCACAGCGGGCAATTCCGGGTTCCTTGTATTCCGACTTCACCCAGTCGGATAACCACTGCATGTTACAATCACAGTAAAGAGGGTTGGCTCCAATCGCTCTGGAAAAACAACACCACAAAAGCACAAACACACATACACACACACACACACAGTATGGATGTATTATTTCCTAAGGGAACAGAATGCAGTGCTGCTCAGTAGAAAAACCCTACAGATTTATTGAGGATAACACTTTAGCAGAAAGCAGAGACAACGTGGGTTCCCCGTTTTGCTGACTGACATGTCACCAGTGCTCACACTTACCTGTCCTTTACAAGGAATCCTTGTATTTGCAAAGACAGGTTTAGACAGGTGTGAGCACACGCTCGGCGTATTAACGCTTCCTTCATTCACCAAATATTTCCTGAGAACTCAATCACTGTGCCAGGTTTCAAGGACCAAATATAAATAAAGCATTATTCCTGCCTCCAAAGAACTCCTCCTGCTGAGGAGAGAGCATTCACTCCCCCCTAATAATTTTTATTCAAAGTACTAGAAGCATGTACTAGATGTCTGTCACTGAACTGACTTGTTGGTGGAGAAGGGTGGTGGTAGTTTAAGAAATTTTAAAGTATGTGGGATATTTAGAGTTGAGTAGGTGAAAAGGTTGGCAGGACACTTCAGGTAAAGGAGCAGGAAGCAAAGCACAGAGATAAAGTGTGGCATGATGGCATGAATTATTAAAGATGTCTAAAGCTACTTCCCGGAAGCTGAGTTGGACTGCACAGTGGGTGTCTGTCCCTTTGCAAAGTCTCTCATGTTACGGTTTCTACTCCCCTAAGCAGCGCTAGTGACAGCAAAGTAACCAAGAAACTAGCTAACACTTACGGCACTCTGACTATATCCAGGTGCTGGGCTAAGCCAATATTTCTATGATGTCCCTCATTTTATCCTACATAGTAACTTTATGAGGTTAAAATTATCCATAATCCACTTCACAGTTTAAGAAACTGAGACCACAGAAACCAACCAGTGGGATCATAATTCTGTTAAACTTGAGAACAAATAGTAGACATGTAAAGTAGTCCTTAAAAACTGGTGAATTCTGATTCATAAAGAACTTACTTCTAGGTCTTCAGTCTACACATAATTCATCTTATTCTTTTTTAGGCAATTCCCAAATTATATTTGTAAAATCATAATACTTTGTATGATAGCAGAACTCATGTTACGCTCCTGTGTATATGTCAGACTCAAATCCTAGTAAATTAAAAATGAGCACTAGTGATGCTTGATGTTGCCAAGATGTCTGATCTCATCCAAGCTGACATTGCTAAGTCCTTACTATGACGGAGGAGGAAGTGGAAAAAGGGAATAAATCAGAGCTGTTGATGATCTAGGCAGTAAAAAGACAAATGCATGAAGGGAACACAAGGAAAACAGGGCACAGGACAAAGAAGATTCAAATCGCTCTCACTGTCAGGGGTGGGGTGGGGATGTGAAGGAAGGATCTGCTCATCTCAAGCAGGACCTCCCTGCACAGCCTTTTCTGATCCGTGAGGCTGACACCAGCAGGACGGCACCTCCTGCTCTGTGCTGCGTTTCCTGCTAGTCCTACAGCCCTGATCTAGGAGAGTCATTCATGTTATCCTGTATCACACACGGCAGCCCCAGAGTTTGTAAAGGGGTAACTGTGATATGGACTTTGAAGTGCTCAAAAATGAAAAAGTGGAGGTCTCGCTGCCCAAGACTTGATAGTTTAGCAGAAGGAATATTAATAGTCAGCACCCCCCCAGGCTTAGAGGTGGATACACAAAAAGCCTTATTGATAACACAGACCCTACAAGGCAAATTCAGGTGTAACAGGACTGACTATTGGATTCTATTTTTCAATCATCTACCTTTTCCAATTTTCTAAATCTTTATCTTCATGCAGTTTGCAAGTTTTGGAAGGGAAGAGCCAAGCTGGGAGAGAATACGGAAGGCAACCTCCCCTGGAGAACAGGACTGTGACATTTACAGCTGAAGCCGACAACTGCCAGCAGGTGGCGCCAAACACAGCATCACTCGAGGAGGCTTTCCACCCTATCCTAGGCTTGCTCCCTGAACTTTAATGGAATGATAGAATTAAGCCAGAATGAGGTTTTTGCACCCCAATTAGTACATATTTTAAAAACTATTTTACTGTGTTTCCCCAAACTGGAAGCATAAGTAGGTTGTTCTGAGAGGAAGCACAAAGGAGAATCATTTCATCCAATGTGAGGATTTGGCTCTTTGAGTCTTGAACCACACAGAATTTATTTTTCACATGGTTCCACAGCTTGCACTGAGCAATATTTGATAAATAAATGAATCTAGTTTGAACAAATCAGGAACATGTGATACTTGGGTTGTGACTTGAAAAATCAGGTCTGGGAGAGAGCGAATTGAAGGACAGATGAAGTTCTAGAATCAGAGAACAAGGAGAAGGGGAGGGCATGGACTCGTGAATCAGGGAGGGCAGGTTTATAGATGAGACATTTTTAGTTAAGTGACGAGAACTCAATGGGATGCAAGAGCTGAAGGGTAGATTAGAGCTATTTTGCGGAGGGCATCATGTTCAAGTTGAAGATCTTCACATTTTTTTCTTTAAAGATGAAACTAATCAAATCTTAAACCATTGCAATAAAAGAAGTGGCAGAGGATTACTCCCACACACTCACTAAGGAGCGTTTCACCCTAAATCTACAGTCATGAATTAGATACTCACAGATGTGACAGTGCAGAGAGGTCATTGAAAGCACCTTCAGGCACGACAGAAATGTCATTTCCATGTAGGGAGCTAAAAGCAAGAATGAGAAAAATTAAGTTTCCTACATTTCAAGAGTTCAGAAAAATTTCCAGGCATGTATGAGATTTTATCTTAATAATATACACTTTACATTGGTACAGAAAAGATGATCTATTTAATAAACAGTTCTGGTACAACTGGATGTCTACTCGGGAAAGCAGAAAGTTAGCTGCTATTTCATGTAAATTGTACAAAATAAATTTCAGATTGAAGAGTTAAATGCAGAAGTTGAAATATATTTAAATTTATGCAGAGACGGGGTGTGGTGGCATACGCCTATAATCCTGGCACTTTGGGAGCCCAAGGCAGGAGGATCTCATGAGACTGGGAGTTAAAGACCAACGTGGGCTACATATTGAGATCCCATCTGTACAAAAAAATGTAAATAATTAGCTAGCATAATTGTGTGCACCTATAGTCCTAGCTACTTGGAAGGCTGAGGCAGAAGGGTTGCTTGAGCCCAGGAGTTCAAGTCTTCAGTGAGATACTAAACAGGGTGCCACAGTGACACCCTATCTCAACAAAATAAAAATAATAAAATTTAGAAGAGCTCCTTTTTACAAACATGAAATGGAGCTTCATTTTACAAACATGAAATGTGCTTTCAAAAGCACAACATAAGGCTCGGCGCCTGTGGCTCAAGTGACTAAGGCGCCAGCCACATACACCTAAGGTGGTGGGTTCAAATCCAGCCCGGGCCTGCCAAGCAACAATGATGGCTGCAACCAAAAAATAGCCGGGCGTTGTGGCGGGCGCCTGTGGTCCCAGCTACTTGGGAGGTAGAGGCAGGAGACTCGCTTGAGCCCAGGCGTTGGAGGTTGCTGTGAGCTGCAATGCCACAGCACTCTACCGAGGGGGACAGCTTGAGGCTCTGTCTCAAAAAAAGAAAAAAAGCACAACACAAAATCCAGAAATCATAAATGAAAAGAGTGCTAAATATTTGATAGCACAAAATATATCCATAGGTGAAAAAAAATTCCACATTGGTAAATACTTGCAACTTACATAAGACACAAGAATTAATTCCTTTATAAAAAGACCTGCAAGCATAGGGACAAGCAGTCGATGCATAAAAACATCTCCATTAATAAGAAAAAGACAAAGTACCTGATAGAAAAATGGAGTAACGATCTGAACAGCACAAATAAGAAGCACAAATGCTCAATAAACAAAGAAAATATACTCAATTGCCCCAGTAATTGGAAATACAAATTAAAACAAGAACTGAAAATAATTTTCAATCTGTCGTGTAGTCAAAAATAAAAGGATTAATAATATTCAGTGTTTGCAAGAGTGCTCTGAAATAAAAAGTACTCTACAACAGCTCATGGAAACACACATTTGTAAATTGATAAGACCTTGCTGGGAGACAACACAACAGTAACTTTTGGTAGCCTCATTATATTTGAAATACCTCTCTACATAATTCATTGCTAAAAGGGTAGCACATTTGGACCAAGACGCATATATAGGATGTTCGTTGAAGTACTATGAAGCACTTGTAAAAATTTGTAAATAAATCAAATTATAGTGAAGACAAGGATGAATAAATATGGTTCTTCTAACCTTCTAACTGGTAACTCTGTACCAGTTACACAGTTAAGAAATATCTATACACAGGAGGTGCCTGTGGCTCAAAGGGGTAGGGCGCCAGCCCCAAATGCTGGAGGTGGTGGGTTCAAACCCAGCCCTGGCTAAAAAAAAAAAAAAAGAAAGAAAAAGAAATATCTATACATGATAGAATGGAAACATTGTGCATGCTAAATAAAAATAGCCAATGGCAGAATAAGAAAAGATTCTATTTTTTGTCTCTTAAAAGTTATATAATTGTGGGCACATATATATTAGGATGTAAAAACAAATGTATATGGACAAAACCAGAAGAGTTTTAACTATTAATTCTAGGGGAAGGAACATGATTAAGCCTCATGTTTTATTTAACATACTTTTTTTTTGCAATTTTTGGCAGGGGTTGGGTTTGAAACTGCCACCTGTGGCATATAGGGTCAGCACCCTACTCCTTGGAGCCACAGGCACCACCCTATTTCACATACTTAGAAATGCATTTTTATAATAAAAATGTTTTCAAGTACTGCATAATTTCTTTGGAATTAAATTTCCCAATATTTCTTTCAGAATTAATTGCAGGTATATAAATCAGACATCTTTTTTTTTTTTTTCTTGAGACAGAGCCTCAAATTGTTGCCCTAGGTAGAGTTGCCCTCATAGCAACCTCCAACTCCTGGGCTCAAGCGATTCTTCTGCCTCCACCTCCCAAGTAGCTGGGGCTATAGGTGCTCACCACAATGCCTGGCTATTTTTTGGTTGCGGCCATCATTGTTGCTTGGTAGAACCCAGGCTGAATTCAAACCCACCAGGTCAAGTGGGTTGTATGGCTGCTTGAGCCACAGATGCGAAGCCTAAACCATACATCTTAATCTTATATATTATCAAATAAACGACTACAGCAATAGTATTACGAAAGCGAAAGTGATATTGTCCAAACTGAAGCTACTGAACAATGACACGGTAAGATATGATTTTTCTATTTCCAAATTTATAGTAAGGTCTAATACACATATCCTATAATAGCCAATCATCAACAAGGCAGCTTAGGTATAAAAAGACAACCTAAGGCCAGGCAAAGGGCGAGCTCACACCTGTAATCTTAGCACCCTGGGAGGTCAAGGTACTAGGACCCCTGAAGGTGAAGAGTTTGAGACCAGTTTGAGCAAAAGTACATCTCAGTCTCTATTGAAAATAGAAAAAAAAGTTAGCTGTGTGTGGTGGTGCACACCTGTCTTCCTAGCTACTGGAGGCTGAGGCAGGAGGATCACTGAGCCCAGGAGTTGAAGCTGCAGTGAGCAGTGACGTGAATATAAGCTACTTACAGTAATCGAAGAGACTTCAATCCATCAAAGGTTCGAGGAGGAAGACATCTCAGGCGGTTGTAACTAAGAATTCTGAAAGCACACACACACTGATTTGTTTGATTTAGGAATCCAAAAATGGTTAAATAATATTTTTAAAATAATGCAGTTATTGAAGTGTGTACTATGGGTTACTTGAGCATTTTATAAATTGATAACATTTACACATAAGGTTTTTTTTTTTTTTAATTTTTATGTCATCTCCCTAAGAGGACATACGTGTTTTCTAAACACAATCTAGAATTTTTCTCGGTGGCAACCCCTGCCTGACAAGGCTGCCCCCACCATCCTCACTAAGGTGACTTTCCCCAGAAGCCTGGCTCAAGAATTTCCCCTAACCCTATCACAGAAATAAGTTGTTTGTTTCTTTCATGGAACCCAGCACTGTCTGTAATATCCATATTTGTTCATGTATTGAGGATTTGTCTGTTCCTCTGAATAGAAACATTCCCCGGGGCAGAGATTACTTCTTATTCACTAAGAATGTTAAGCATCCAGAAAATGCCTTTTGTGCAGTGATTTAAAAGAATTTTCAGTATCACATGTTCACACTCACAAGGTGAGGAGCTGGGTCATGTTGCTGAAGCTCTGATTGGAAAGGGTGCTTATTCTGTTGTTACTTAAGTCTCTAAAAGAGAAAAAGGAAGAAATAGTCTACTGTTAGCCATGGAAATGGGAATATTAGTGATTCTTAGAGAGAGAAAGGTCTTCTTTACAGCCAGTCACTCCCTTATTGTCTGAAGACAAAAAGACACCAGATCACACTATGAAATAGATGGCAACATTGTTTATAATTATTCACTTGCAACCCTGTTGAGATTAGGAGGGAACACATGCCTTGCTTTAGCCAATGAGGTGTGAGTATATGGGGACTTTAGCCAATGGGGTGTGAATACACAGGGTCTTTAGCCAATGGGGTGTGAGTACACAAGGTCTTTAGCCAATGGGGTGTGTACACACAGGATCTTTAGCCAATGGGGTGTGAGTACACGTGGCTGGTCTATTTGTGAGCAGCTGCTCAGGTTCAGAGTGAGCTCATGTTTCCTTACACTGCTGTTGCCACCTCCAGGAGACTCATGATGGTTCCCAGGGAGCTCTCTTGGAGGCGACTTATAATAGACACATTTTGTGGGTGATAACATCAACCTCATCCTCCTAAGTGCTATCAGATACACAAATTTTATCCTCACGGATCATAATTGATCATTTATCATTTAAATAGTCCAATATGCTTTTCATAAAGTTTCAAACACATATTCAAATGTCATACCTGAAAGAACCCCTGAGCAATAACATTCAGTACAGATGCCTGTGTTCCTGACCCTGACCAAATCACTGTAGGACCCAGTAGGTCCTCGATAAAAATCTGTTTGATGAATATTTGGTAAATAAGAAAGATGGTGAATTTTTACCTACACTAAATGGCTCTTGTAAGTGGAATGTGTACTATAGGTTGTAATTTATATTCTGTGAACTTAATTTTATTCCTATTATATATACATATCAAAATATAAATATATTCACTAACGTCTATGTACTATATATATATTCACTATATACATTCACTATTTTTCTGAAGCAAAATGCAAAATATTTGAATAAATAGAAGACTCAGAAAAGCTGAGGATTATCAGTTCCTTTATTAACCAAATGTCAGTAAAATGGACCCATAAAATTAGAAAAAAGCTAGGAATCTTTTCAATCCATATTTTTTTTTAGAAGTTTACTTTTTTTTTTTTTTAATATTTCACTGGCCCAGATTGGGTTCGAATTGGCCACCCTTGATGCATGAGGCTGGTGCCCTAACTGTGCTCCAGGAGCTGAGCCTACAACCCATATTTTAAGCTGCCGAAGTACTATACCTAAATTTTAAAAATAAATGTGTCTACTTTAGAAAGAATTAGTTGCCCAGAGTTGTGTAATGAGTCATGGGTAAAACCATTTCTACATTCACAATTCTCATTTTTCATTTCCAACTGATTTTAAATAATTACACGCTGTCCCACAAATGACCCAATTCTGCTAAAGTGACCCCTTGGAAATTGCAGTAATTTAATGGTTTATTTAACATAATAAAATGTATATAGTCGGTTCTTGTGGCTACAATATCAATGACTTAAGGAAGAACAAGGAACCTTTTCTGTAATTTAATCATTTGCCATTTAAATAGTCCAATATACTTTTTATGAAGCTTTGATTTTCACATACATTTAAGGAAAATCAAAAATGATCAGAAGAAACCTCAATAAATAAGGTTTGCTTGGGGTATGTAACACTCTCTGCTACTTGGGTTTCTAGAATTCTCTTAAGAATAAACTGTCTTATTCTAACAACATTAGCAATCTGCCCCTAAAGCTATTCATATTTACTCTAAAATTAGAAAGGCTTAAACTAATAATAAGGAATGTTCAATTAATCCATGTATCAATCATCTTCTAGATAATTTTCTTTTGGTATGTTCTAGTTTATCAATTATCAACAAGGCTACTCTTAAAGCAGCAGTTCTCAACCTGTAGGTTGTGACCCACAGGAACTGTGTACTAAAGGGTCACAGCATTAGGAAGGTTGAGAACCAGTCTTAAAGCCTGATATTATGTGCAACAAGATTATGTTTGTTTTTAAACATTGTGTACAGAACTAAATCAAAATGCTTCTATATTTAATTATCTTCTTGTGTTTAAAACTGAGAGATGGTTAAAACTGTTTACATTCATTAAAAAATGTAACAGAGGGCATCAAAAAATGCTGAAAAAAAATCAATAATTTGAATTTTATTCTTAGGAAGTCAATACTTTGTCAATTTTACTTACATACTATATAAATTTATATATAGATGCTATAAAATAAATTTTAATACCTGAGACCCATAACTTAATAATATTTTATATAAGGAACAGAAACCTAATAAACTAAATTTTTAATATATTTTCATTAAGTTGTTCATCATTCATCGTATTTCATTTCAAGTCAAGACTAAAGACACGGCTTATCTTTCCTTCCTTGGCTTGGCATAAAATAGCCTACATCTGTCAATAAAAGTAAGCAGTTTATCATGTTTCTATAATTCTCTGACTACTTAAACTTTCTTGTATTCATACATCTTTGAATTTAGAGGAGGACCTTTTTCTAAGACATTCCATTGCCTGACTGATATTCAATGAAGATGTAGCCGGTGATCCAGAACCACAGTGAGCAAGGAGGGACGCATCTAAGTGTAGATGATTTATTTTATCTGAAAGGTTCACTAAATCTTCTGCCCCTTGCTGCCCCCATTTTCATGAAATAGATTAAAGCAAAAATGAAAAAAAAAATACAGTATGTTACTCACATAAGTGTTAAATGTTTGTAGTTAGAGAGTTCCTTTGGAACCAGCGTAAATTGGTTTCCATCAAGATACCTAAAAACAAAGAAACAGTATTATTTTCTTACAAGTAACAGTGGCCACCCATAAAATAAGTGAACAATATTTCACTCTTAAGGCAAAGAAACTTGGCAGTTTTTGTGTTACAATGTCATCCTCCTGTCTGGGGTCATTACTGAAGAAAAGTAAAGAAAGAAAAAAAAAATTACAGTTGTCAAATACAGCAGAATTCTTCGTGGATCATTTAAGCTAAATTATAAAGTCAAAGTCTCTGTGGTTTATCTAAGAAGGCAAGGCGAGCTTTTAGCAGCTGTGTGTCAGCAAGGGGGCCCACTCAGTCAACCATACTTTTAGTAAGCCTCCAGTCTGTCTTTATGAGGAGACAATACCATAAAATTCATTAAGTACTAACCAAACCAAATCTTCACTGCCTTAATATGTGTAGTATACTTAGTAACAATAGATGGTTTTAAAGAGAAATTTGGAAATGTGTACATAAATAGGTTTGTTTTTACCACCATATATTTGCTTAGTGATAAACATTTTAAGGGATTTTGTGAAATATCACAAATTTAGCAAAGTATTGAGTACGTGTGTATACATACACAGTGTCCAGAAAGTTATGTGCAATTTAAATTATTATTGTAAATTGCACACTAAATTTATGGACATCCTCTCTGTGTGTGTGTATAAAAGTAATTTAAAATACCCACATATAAGTCAATTTTTCCTTTTATTTTGGAGTCAGAAGAATAATCAGAAAATATACTGGCTTTTGGCTAACTGGCAAGCCATGATTAACTGGATGCTTGAAGTTAGAGCAATGATGTCCCAAAAAGAACGATCAATTTTGTCTCCTTCCAAGGCTATTTTTTCCTAGAATACAGACAGGGAGGGGTCATAGGTCTTTCAGAAACTGGGGCCATCTCACTCTGGATGTGCCCACAAACAATGGCGGCACCCTGGTCATATGGCCCCCTGCTATATCCCGCTGTGTGGCCAACCTCAAGATTCCAGGGTGCAGCTGGTGTTCTCTCAAGATATAAAAGTAGCTGAGACGTTGCCGAAGATAACAGCCTATTTCTAATATTTCAAAATGAAAACAATTATATAAAAGACACAAGTTGTCAAAAATATGTAAAAAAAAAATCCAAAAAACAAAACCCATATGATTAAGAGCAAGAGCAGGACTATGTCAACCTTATGCTTTCTTAAGCTTTTTGACTTCATATTTTTGCTTTGGTCCCCCTCCGTCTTTCCTTTCTTCCAAGTTTTTCCTGATACCACTAGAGGGAAGCATCATTCCATACAGCTCAGCATTTTCCCTTGATTCCAAAAACAGCCGAGGTCAACAAGATTGGGAAAGTCTGTTATGAATGTTTATATCTAAAACAATCTAAGCGGAAGGGATGTGCAACTAACTGTTTTAAAACAATGGAGACCATTTTCTCAAACTTGACTACCAATCACACACATGTTTGCCAAAATCTTTAATGATTTAACATAATACACACTAAAAATGTTTCTCACACACGTGGATATGTTTACCGGTGAGACAGTTCCTGCTAACTTGGTAAGGTTCTGAGAATAAGCGCTCTGGGAGATAAAATGTATATTCACAACAGATGAGTTAATATCTTTCTCATCTCTAAAATATGCTTTATTTAGGAAAAAAGGCTACTTTTAATAATTTGTAGTGAAATAGATTGAAAATTCAATTTTTTGAAATAGTGAATAAACACATATATAGCAGATAGGACATGAATTAAGTAGGTTATTTGGGTTGTTCAATGGCGCTTAGGAAGAAAAATGAAGAATATTTAAAATGTTTACTGGGAATCGGGTTAAAGGACCAAAGCATAGGCCATTGAAAATAGTAGAAAAAGGTACTTAACATCAAAGATGGTCTGAAAGTCTGCTCAGGGAGTATTCCTAAAATCAATGCTTTGCGTACAGAATATTCTACAGCCATCTAGCCTCTCCAAGGGCAGGGCTCAGGGTCTTATGTGAACTTCCAAAATAAAAACATTGTAAATCAAAAATTAAGTATTTAACTAATACATACATGTAAAATATTGCTTAAAGTTAATCTGAAAATGTGACTGGCAATGAGAGAGAAACTGCACACTTCCCCACAGTTCAAATCCAAGAGGAATGTTCTGTGTGCATAAGATGATGCCTTCTTTCTCTCACTGTTCCATTCAGAACCAAAGGAGGATCCACAGAAGGACATCGGATTTGGAAATAAGATGCTTAAAAATTAAAGTGGCATCTTCTGGAACCTCATTGCCTCTGCTGCACACGGCTGAAAGTTTATCAAACCTGCTCACTCGGAACACTCATGTGGGTCTGCACGAGCCACAGAAACATGCCTGCATTGGGATTTAAATCATTATTGATCCATGGTGTCACACAGAGAAAAAATAGAGAGGCAAAAATGACTTGGTTATATTCATGCCAAGAATATGGCATTTGTTTGGAGAACGAATGACATGGATGGGATATGAGTATATTATTACTGCTGCAGCTTCTTCTATGAATTTTCCATTCTGCGTATGTGGTCTGAAGCAGGCAGGGGAGTGTGGCAGCCTTGAAGGTCAGCTATGTGTATATTGGCCATGTAATTTGTGGTTAAATATCAGTTATGAAAATGTCAGGGCTAATTGGTCCCATACCCTTTTGGATCTAAAGGACTCTGATTCAAGTTCAAAAAAGAAAAAAAAAAAGCATTTTCTCTTTTTAAGGGTAAAGGTTATGCCAGTTTTTCCACATCCAAGATAATTATCTTATGTGGGGAGATACGCTCCCAGAGGTCATAGGTTAAAGAAGAATTTGCCATAGGGAATATTCTGGGCACTGTAAACAAAGCAAATATACAGGATTTCCTGAAGTGCTGGGCTTGCGAGACACTCCCTGAGGAAAGGAATATAGAAAAAGATAAGTGTGAGGACTACCTTATATTTGACCATTCTCCCTTGGAGTATCATAGCACACCTCAGCACAATAAAGGCCCTGAGAATGTGAAAAAAGGTAAAATATAGAACTAGTCATTCCCTAGGGACCCTGGACTAACTTTGGCATTTATTTGTTTACAGTTTCGGGTGATAACAATTAATTGCTCATCGTATGCCATCTGCAAACAGAATTCTAAAGATTTTTGTTTGGTCTCCATTCTGCTGGGTGTGTAAAACATTCATTGTCAAGAAAAAGGAAAGACAAGCTTTACTTACAACTCTGTGACATCTTTTGGAATTCCTTTGGGCAGGACCTTCAAGCCCTTGTTGCTGCATCGGACAACTGTATCTAAGCAAGTACATTCCGTCGGGCAGCGAGAGAGTGGGGAACAACTGTTGTCATCATTTCCTGAATTAAAGAGGAAACAAGCAAGGCCCAGATTTGTGGTTTTAAAGGTGCGTGAAAGGGATTTTATGTCTTTAAATTAACTTAACAAATATAAGAGTCTCCAGCACTGATTGATAGGGTGTTAAGTATTTACAAATTGATACCATAAGTTCTACACGGGGCTGTTTTCAGACTGCCTAGGGCAGCATTCCAGAAAATAGTTTACAACTTGTAAATTGTAATTACAATTACCCATGCAATTATAACAGCTAGTTATTTGTTCAGTTATTTACACAAATTATACTTTTAATTAGAATATGTAAATGTAAACCGAATTGTAAGGAGATAGACATGAGGAGACGTAAAGGGACAGATTAGTTGAACGTGTTTAGCAAAAATTGCATGGGTTCCTAATTTTAAAATATAGAGCTCAAATTAGCTCCCTGAAATACTAATAAAATCTGCTCTATTACCGTGTAGGGCTATTATGAGAACCAACTATGATGACAAAGAGAGAGTACTAAATGTGAAAAAATACTGTTTTTGTCAGAGTTACTAAAAATTTTATGTTCTAAGTTAATTGCCTTTCTAATTTGAAAATTGTAGTTCCCTAAAAAGATGCCTTGGATAATTTTTAAACGTTAAAATAAAATTACTTACACGGTATCCACCACAGAAGAAACTAGACATCTTTTTAAACATTCAGAACACACATTAAGCTGAATGTGAGAGTGTTGTCTGAGAAGGTAAGTGCCCTGTTGCTAAAACAAAACCAAGCAACAACGCAAAGACAAAGACATCCATTCTGATCTGTTGAATTGAGCTCAGATATGCTACACGTGTGTGCACCATCGCATCCCAACAGCATCACGTGAGATGGGGCAAAGGTTCTCACCATCATCGCAAGTGAAGTCCTGGATGGCCACATCCTGGATGGGAATTTCTTTGAGGAAGTACGGTTTCTGACATCGAGGATTCCCCGTCACGATTCTTTTCTTCCTGAGCCACTCTCCCAACCAGGCCAGGTAGCAGTTACAGTTAAAAGGATTGGCCAAGAGGTTTCTAAGTGCCACGTGGAAACAACGCATGGTTTAGTCTGGGGTTTCACCTTCTACTTCTCAAAGGCCCATGCTGCTATTCCCCACACTATCTCTACTGGAATAATTCCTTCTGCTTCCTCTTCCCAGCCCCCTGCCTCATTCATACTCAATCACGGGCAACACAGGAGAGCATTTATCTGCTAAAATATTTATGCTTGGGACTTGAACTGTAACAACACCTTTACATACAGGTAAGAAATGTTTCACATAATTTTATGCAAAAAAAATAAGGTAAAGGCAGTAATTTAGAGTTTAGGCAGTAGATCCAGATAGATACCTCATTTAGAAATAATTTAAACTTGTCAGAAATCTGACTTGCTGTCAAACTTCTCTGCACTGATAGTGCAGTAATTTAATATAAAGATGAAGGCTGATTACCTTATATTATTGAGTTTAACCTGACAACAGCTATTTCATTAATTTGTCATCTCAAGATTTTCATCTCTTATTTGCTCCAGAGAATAGGTTTCCCATCTAAACTGACAGCTGAGTTGATTAAATGCTAGTTATAAAAATGAATTTACTTCTACAAATCTCAATACTTTGGGCGTCTCACCACTTCAGCACAGACCTATTGACAATCCCATTATTTATAAACATGCCATCCTTAATAAGCACAAGTTAGTCACTCAATGACAAATGTCACATCTTATGTGGAAGGAGGATTAAGTACTTGAATGATGGATGGATGCTTCTCTGTAATTATTTCTTCAGTTACCTGAGCTACGTTACATGGGTCCTTATTTCTCTCTATAACTATATTCTCTTCCTATTGAGTTAGACAGCATAGCTGCCTGCCACCATTACAAAGAAGTCTTACCAGTTATATGTTTAATGTTATATGATTAATAGTTTCAAACACTAGTTTTTCGAAACTAACTCACAAGAGACCTGAATATATTGTTTGGTGGAATTTATTTTGGACACACTTCCTGACTTCTATCTACAGGCCTACAAATATTTTTTTATTTTCGAGCTGTCTACATAAAATGCCTTTGTAGACAGGTTCAAGCTATTTTTTCAATATTCTCCAAATATCACAGTAAATGCCCTCTAGCAAATAGCTTTTGTTGTTGTTCTGGTCATCCTAATGTGCCTCTTGTCATTTCAAATGATCCTTTAGAGCATAATTTGTTGGCACTAACACTATCAATTCTGATTTTATAATCCTTATTTTGAAAATAGGCCAGCGTGGGAAATCTGCAACATTTCTTTTATATCCAGCACTCTCAAGTTAAAATAATTTTAAAATTGAGAAATAAGTCACATTATTGAGCACATGATTATAAAGAACCGAATGAACCGTACTGTAATTTTTTGTTAAAATTTAATACAAGAGAGTAGGTAATAGTTTTAGAAAAATGAAAGTAAATTAACATGAACAAATTTTTCCCTTTAAACAATGTCACTTGATTATATTTTTTTTTACAAAACACCTAATAATGCATTAAAATGCTATTAATAAAAGTAAAAAATATAATACACTGTCTCAAGTAATAAATAAACGAAGGCGATTTTTCATACTTACAGAGTAGACAATGAATGGAGAGTATCAAATGCCCCTGGTGCAACCGTGGTAATTTGATTATCATAGAGAGAAAGCAAACGCACAGAACTGAGTCCTATGAAGCTGTCATTCGCCACACAGCTTATCTGATTGCTCCTCAACATTCTAAGGGGAAGAGAGAGAGGACATTGTTATGGAGAGGAAGCACCAGGCAATCAATTTTGCCTATCTGAGGATCAAAATACCCCTTCTTTGCAATGTGGCATTCGTTACTATTTTTCGAATGTTTGTATGTCATTAGGAACCACTATGGACATGTACTGGGAAGCTCCTGCAGGAAGAAGATGCTTGGAGTCGTCAGTGATTAATCTTAGTTACAAAGGCCCAGCGAGTCTCTGCGTGGATCTACAATTCCGTGATGAGGGCAGAACGTTTGCCTTTGATGCTCTAATTATGTTTGCATGATTACATAATGTCCTAATTCACCTACAGCTCTCTGAGCCCTTGGAGCCCCGTGATTTGTGCATTCAGTGTAGTACACGTCTTACATTTAAGGCTGAACAAAAAGGAGGCAGAAAGAATCAATAGTCCCAGCAGAGGAAGTGCTGAGGGCATTTCAGGGACTGAGACAGAGATGGAGTCAATATCAAACGGGCAGCGAAAGCGAAAGGTGAATAAGTATCCACAAAGCATATACAAATTGCTCATATTTTATTCAGAACAATTAGTTACCTAGTTCACTGTTTTAGTTTAAAACTTAGAAAATGACAAGAGTAAACAGATCCCACTTTCCTCTCCCTCTGTGGCGCAGGCTGGAGTGCTGGGGTGTGATCACCTGTCCTCAAGTGATCTTCCCACATAAGTCTCCTATATACCTGAGGCTACAGGTGTGTGCCACCCATGACCAGCTACTTATTTTTTATTTTAATTTCTTTTTGGAGAGATGGAGTTTTGCTATATTGCCCCGGCTGGTATTGAACTCCTGAGCTCAAGCAATTCTCCCACCTTGGCCTGCCAAAGTGCTGGGATTATAGACATGAGCCATGGCAGTATCTGGTCTATAAAAAAATTTATTTATTTATTTCCCACAATAAAATTTAAATGGCTGGCTCAGTGCCCGTAGTTCAGTGGTTATGGCACCAGCCATATGCACCGGGGCTGGTGGGTGCGAACTGGCCTGGGCCTGTTAAACAATGACAACTACAACAACAACAACAACAAAAATAGCCAGGCATTGTGGCAGGCGCCTTTAGTCCCAGCTACTTGGGAGGCTGAGGCAAGAAAATCGCTTAAGCCCAAGAGTTTGAGGTTGCTATGAGCTGTGACACCAGGACCACTCTACCGAGGGTGACATAATGAGACTCTGTCTGAAAAAAATAAAAATAAAAATAAATAAAAATAAAATTTAAATGGGTATACCTTGAAAAAATTCCAACCATTTCTTAATCATCCCCTAGTAGGAATACTAGTGTAGTCACCCTTATCAGGGCCATAGTATTGGGTCGGTTTTCATTTCTTTGTTAATCTTTATTTGTAGGGCTTAGAGGATTTAAAAAAAGCCTTTTAAAAACTCCATGAGAAAACAGATATAAATAGTTGCCATAAGTCTTATTCAGAATTCCTGCAAAGCTAATTCACTCCTTAATTTGTCTAAACACAAGTTGACTACTAAAGATTGCACGATGTAGAAGGGAAGGCAAAAATAAACAACCAATGTCATTGTAAAATACTAGATTGCCCTGTAATAAATAAGAAATAGAAACTTTCGCTTTCTGCTAAGTTACAGATAAGAAGAAAAGATGGCGCCCTTCTTATCAAGGCATCATCGTATGTTAGGAAACAAATGCAGAACGGAAGAGTTTTTCTCTCGGCACTTCCCTTTGTCATAGATAATAAAGAGCCCTGGGTCCTAATCTTGCTAGAGAAACAGACCCTGGAGAGAACTGGAAGAAAATTTGGTTCTTTGTTGCTGGAAAATCTATAAGCACACAAATGTACAAAATTTAATCTGCAATGTCATGGAACTGTCTCACTGAAATAGGTAAAAACTTTAGGGGGCATGGGGATGTGCCATCAAAATTCTCATAGCTCAACTAGCTGGGTGTTGTGCCAGGTCCCAGTAGTCCCAGCTATGTAGGAGGCTCAGGTAAGGGGATTGCATGAGCCCAAGAGTTTGAGGTTGCTGTGACATCACTCTACCCAGGGTGCAGAGTGAGACTCTGTCTCAAGAAAAAGAAAAATCCTCATAGCTCGAAGCAAAAAGACACCAATGGGGAGAACGGGTGTGTCCAGATAAACTACCTTAGGGCTTTGAATTCCCTGAGCTTGGCTCTAGCTCCCGCTGGCACGCTTGCTGTGGCCAGATGGCTTAAGGAGAGAGCTGTTGGGCACCTGTCTCAGGTGCTAAAATACAAGAGCACAAAAATATCCACAGTAATCCAATAAAGGGGGAAAGTTGAATATGGAGACCTCTCAGGGAGAATCCTGTACACGTCATTAATCAGAAGAGATAGTTTGATAAGCTCCTTGGGGTGGTGTTACGGACAGAGTTGTGTCCCCCCATGCATACGCTGAACCCTAACCCCCAAATGTGGCTGCACAGTCACGAGCCACCTAACATTTTGGTCAAGAATGGACACACAAAGGTGGGCTAAGAAGACTGCAATGGAGCTGGAAATCGCCTGTTGCCTAGTGACATCACAGCCATCATGACATCTGAGCACGACTGATGGCTCCTGTGCTTGTGGAGATGCTGGTGTTGACAACGCTATTGCCTAGTTAGTCCCAGAAAGTTCTAGTATGTGCAACATGTCCCATGCATCATACTTACGATGACCATAAATGACTATGATAGCGGGCTCTGTGTTCACTGTATACCATGGCTTTTTAGAGTTATTTTATAGTGTATATATACACATTTTAGAATATATTTATTCTAATAGGTATATTTAAATATATACATTTAAATGTATATATATTGAGAGAGAATGTTAACTGTCGAGCGTCCTGAGGTGTGAGGCAGGTCCTTCCAAGAGGGCACTGTCATCATAGGAGATGGCCTCTGGCTCCATGTGTGTGACTGGCCCTGAAGATCTCCCCAGATCTCCCCGTGGAACAAGATGTAAAGGGTAAGACAGTGGTATCAATGAGCCTGACCTTGTGTAGGCCTACGCTAAGTTCTGTGTGTCTTGTTTCTTAACAAATAATTTTTTTTACAGTTTTTGGCCAGGGCTGGTTTTGAACCCACCACCTCTGGCATATGGGGCCGGCGCCCTACTCCTTGAGCCACAGGCACCACCCAACAAATAAGTTTTTAAAAAATGTTAAAAATAGAATCTTACAGAGTATAGATAAAGGAAAGAAAATATTTTTGTACAGCTGTACAATGTGTTCTAAGCTAACTGTTAGGACAAAAGAGTCAAAAGTTTTAAAAAATGAAAATATTTATAATAAAGTGAAATGTTACCGATTATTGAAGAAAACATTTCTTTTATAAATTCAGTGTACCCTAAGCGACTGGTGTTTACAGGGCCGACAGAAGGGTACAACAGGGTCCTGTCCCAGGCTTTCCATTCACCCATCACTCACATCCTCACTCATCCAGATCAGCTACTGGTCCTGAGGCCCCGTTCATGACAAGAGCCTTGTACAGGTGCACCATTTTTTTGTCTTTTATCCTGGACTTTTGCTATGTTTAGTACACAAGTACTTGCCACATATCACAGTACAGTCCCATGCAGTGTGGGTCTGAGGTCCAGGAGCAATGGGCCCCACCGTCTAGGTTTGCCCTTGGGTGCTTTGTGACATTTGCTAATGCCAAAGTCGCATAATGACACAGTCCTCAGAATGTATCCCAGTGGGTAATCAATGCTTGACTATATTTAGATAGAGGGATTAGAGAGATAATTAAGGTTCAATAAGGGTGTGTAAGGGGAAGGCCCCATTCTGATGGGGCTGCCGTCCTGACACGAGACAAGGGAGGCAGCTCCCTCTCACTCCACATGGACACACAGAGGAAAGGCCAGCAAGGACATGGCAAGAAGGTGGCCATCCACAAACCAAGAAGAGAGGCCTCACCAGACACCCCCAGTGAGCACCTTGATCTTGCACTCCTCTCCATTCTGATGAGAAAGTAACTTTGTGTTGTTAGAGCTGCCCAGACTGTGGTCTCCTGTTACGGCAGCCTGAACAGACTAATCCAAGTGAAATTATAACCTACTCCCTTCCTCCCAGTCCAGGTGCTGCTCCACCCTGAAGGACGTTCCAGTAACAAGAAGTCCCTCAGGCACCTTCTAAGAAGGGAGGGTTCTGCGTGTTACTAGATTTGTGTTTTGCTGAGTGACCTGCCACAGCTCAGGGGGAGGTGAGATGCAGCCTCTGGGGCACATCTCCTCTCTGCTCCTGACACACCCCAAGGGTCTCTTCCATACAAAGGCTGAGACAATGTGCACAGGGGGTTTGGAAGTGGCTCCAAGTTAGCTCTTGGGAGGGTTCAGCCGGTCCCAGACCAATCCTGCCATATGATTAAGTTCCACGCTACCCCTGCTAAGTATGGGAAGCACCTCCTGCTCCGACATGCAGGGGTTCTGGGGGTGGGGGTTGAACTGGGGATACTGTCAGCACATCCCACTGGTGATGGAAAGTCCCTTCTCCTTCTGCGTCTGGTAAAGAGCAGGTGGTGGGCTCCCTCAGCTAACAGTGCCCCCTGTCACATGTGCCTCTCAGAAGCTGTGTGGGGCAGGGTTGAGGACTCAGAGGAGACCGTGCAGCTCAGGCCTCCCTCCACTGCAATCACTGACAGCTGCTTCTCAGTTACAGATATTTTCCTTCATGTCTTCCAGAGGCTTCAGAATTTGGTTTGTCTCCCTTCCAGGTTTGAGGGCGCCACTTTTGTCAAACATAATTATATAAAAATAAAAGTACGTGTATATATGTCCGTATATTTATAAACATATATGTGTGTATGTATTATGTGCAGTGTAGAAAACTCAAGTAATACAAAAATGTCATATATACTATTCATCCGAATCCCCGTTCTCCTCGTCCAGAAACCTCCTGGAAACACAGATTTTTTTTTTTCCCTGACTTCCCTATCCCTGGGCAAGTAGACACAATGCTTAGTGTGTTTTCTTTAAAAGAGAGGGTGTGTGAGATGGTCCAGGATTAGGACCTTCCAGGGACACAACAAAGGTAGTGTCCAGAGTTGTGCTACTGCGGGGCTGAGGGGGTGGATTCTGGAGCTCAGAGACCTTGGAAAAAGACGGAGTATAAGACAGAGGGAAAGGAAGGAGAATGATCATTTTGAGACCGGACAGTGGAGCCAGAACTGTACAAGCATTAGAGTAAGGATGACCCATGCCGCTGAAGAGGCAGGAGCCCTGAGGGGCACTACTAAACATTTGTTATCAGCACACTGAAGCAGGGGTATTGAAGTAAGGGGCTATTTGTATTCATAAAACAGGGTCTGTGTGTGTGTGTGTTAGAGAGAGAGAGAGAGAGAAGGTGTGAAAGAGAGAGAGAGAGAAGGTGTGAAAGAGAGAGAGAGAGAGAAGGTGTGAAAGAGAGAGAGAGATAGAGAGAGAAGGGTAGGGAAAATCAGAGGGATCAGAGCGGTCCCCTCCCAGGATCATGATGGATAATGAACTCCACTGCTTTGGCGGAAGAACTACAGTGCAAATGAAAATACTTACAAAGTTTTGAGGCTTTCCAATCCCTTGAACATCTTATGCCGAACGCTCTCCAAACGATTGCTCGTAAGAAGTATTTCATTGACACCAGATGCTCCTTCAAAGGCTCCCTCCTCAATATCTGCGATCTTATTGTTACTAAAGTTTCTAAGGAAACAATTGTTGGAACAAAGATTTTAAATAATTCCTCTTTGACAACGAGGGCGCTGGCACAACACATCGGATTGTTTTCTTCTACTGAACAGAGTCTCAAGATTTTCACTGCTCAGCCCAGCCAGGGCACTGTCTCTACTGCCTCAAGACAAAGGATAAAATACTAAGAAGGAATGTCTGTGATTAAAAAAAAAAAATACCAGCCTGATTTATGTCAAATATGCAAAGGTCTGTGTCAAACATGCAAAATTCTCAAGGTCCGGTATTGGGTTGCATAAACCTTCATGCCTGCCACAGAGCCTAATAAGGAACGTTGCAAAGAAACGTCCTTGATGAATTAAAACTGTTACCTGGGTGGAACTGAAACACATTCTTTTCAGTAAAGTATCTCCAGAATGGAAAAAAAAAGTATCCAATGTACTCAATACCATTATGAAACCAATACATCATTACTTACATGTGCATTCAACTATAGGGCAGGAAGATAAAGGGGAGAGGTAGGGATGGGAGGGGAAGGTGAAGAGTGGGCGGAGACAGGGTGTTTGGTGGGATCTCACCTACTGTGCACAATGCAACGGTACATTTCAAAACTACTAAGAGCGTAGTGTAAATGTCTTACCACGACACCTAAGTGAGATGATGGTTATGTTAATCCGTCTGATATAAGCATTCCACACTGTATATCAAATCAGCCCATCATACCCCATTATTATACACAGTTATGATTAAAAAAAAAACTACTCAATGAATTAATGACTAAAAGAAGGCAATTGTATGGAAAGAAAGATGGGCTAAAACTCTTAGTGTTCGGACAGCATCAGAAACGCATTTCAATGTGAGCTTCTGTCCAGTTGAACTTCTCATGCAATAATGTGTTAAAACAACCAACTTACCCATCAGTATTGTGTGCGATACCAAATACCTCAATACTTGCCCAGAGGTCAAGAATGTCCACCTGAGGTTACACTTGACTATATAAACTTACTTTCTTTCTCACTGTTCTCTCTATGACCAGGAGTGTCCCCCAAATAAGGATTGTCATTATTTACCATTTTATTTCTCTTAGAGCATTGTAGCTGCTTGACAAATATTTATTGCATAGGTGCTCATTTTATAGCTAAATAGGTACATTTAGTATTAGTGAAGAAGGAGGTCAATCAAGAAATTAGACACCCTTCGGGAGGCAACACCACGTGCAGGTCAAGTGCACAGGCTCTGAGCTCAGGCTGCTCCACTGTGGACTGTCTGTGCCCATGGGTCAGTTTGGTATTGTGGACACACGTGTAGCTGGAACCCTGCTTCTTTCCTCATGGGTGCAGGGTTTTCCACTGGCCTTACACTCTTAGCTCTTTCCTGCCCCTCTCTCATGCCTCCCCAAGGGTGTGAGTGCCCATTGAGTATGGCTGAAACTGCTGAGCTTAAGAACTTGTTTTAAAATATGAGTTGTGGACATGTAGTTAACACAGATGAGTTATCCAGCCAGTTTACCAATCGTTCATTTTGACTATCTTCTAATGAACGTCAAAGGAAGCAAAAAGTCAAATAGTTGTTGACGTGAATGTGCTGAAAGGGAAATAACGGCCTGGTTTGGGGAATAGTAAAGAAAGGTGTGAAACATTACTGACTCCATTTGAATGTTGAATGTGCTTGGGTTGCTGGGTTCCTGCTGTGGCTACGTGACAGACCAGCTGTCTTAGTTAAAGTAAGACGCTATGGTTTTACTCCAGAACACAGGGTTGACGTTGCTTGAATAAAAAGAAAAGTTCTCAGAGATTACACTAAATTCATGTCACAGGTAGTTGCTGTATGGAAATTTCCCTGGACTTTTTTTTTTTTTTTCCAATTTGCAAAGAAACTTAAAACTCTAAAGGACTTGGAAACACACAGTATAACAGTACTGAAATTCAAAAAGATAGCTAACAAATGACTTACATTTTCCGCAACTGAGGAAGTTTCTTAAAGATTCCTGTGGCTTCTAACACTGTAAATTCATTGTTATTTAGACGTCTGGTGGGGAAGGAAAGAAAGGACAAAAAAAGTCTTATCACCAACAGTTAGGAAAGGATTAAGTTTTATTTCTCAAACAGAATTACAATATTATTTAATGGTAACCCTAAAATATAGTGCAGATATCACAAAATATTTGTACAGTATACTGATATATGTCTGTTTTACCCAAATTTAAATTATCCAAATAAAGTCTATTAAAAGACACAGTAAGGAAAACCAAAAACAGAAACCAGTTCTCATTCAGTCATCGCTAGAACGAAATTTCTCAGGTTTTTTGCAATATCACCTTTTTTAGACATTTTTTCCTAATTATTTGCTCCATAATTTTTTTCAAATTTGCAGTTTTATTAATATCTACTTCACAGAACATAAGGATGCAATCCACACACTATGCTATCTAATTTCCCAATACCATCCTCATTATCAGTCACTCCCAAGTGCTCCTTCCCTCCACTCATTTACTCTCTGTCATTCCTGATTTTCCTACTGGAAATTTAATGTAAATGGAATCACATAAAATGTGACGTTTTCTGTCCGGTTTATTTTGCTTCCTATCATGTTTTCTTCAAGCATCCATTTGTCTCAGCACATGATCAGTGCCCCATTATTTTTAATTGCTGAATACTATTCCACTGTATGGGCATACCACATTTTGTTCATCCATTCACCAGGGAGTGGACATTTGCATAAACATCAATGTACAAGATTTTCTGTGAATATACATTTCAATTTTTTGTATATAAATTTAGAAGTAGAACCACTGCATCACATGATAAATCTATGAGGAATAGCCAACCTATGTTCTAAAACACTAACATTTTACATTCCTACTGGTAATGCATGAGGGCTCCAATTTCTTGTACTATATCATTGTCTTTTTTTTAATAGCCATTCCAGTGAATTAGTATCTCATTGTAGTCTGAGTTGATATTTACCCAATAACTAAAGAAATTGTGCATTTTTTCATGTTTTTATTGGCCATTTGTACATCTATCTTCTTTGGAGAAGAGGACGTCCATAATTTGTTCATGTTTTCATAGGGTAATGTACCTTTTTGTCTATCAATTATAAGATTTCTTTATATATTCTGGATATATGTCCTTTATTAGATGTGTGATTTGCAAATATTTTCTTCTCAGTACTGATTTTATATGTACAATTTTTAAAAATTATATATTTCTTAAAACACACACATCAGCTGAAGTCTACATTAGAGGCTAGTTTCTACTATAATTCTATGTTGATGAATAATCCTTTTAAGGGTGCTAGCATGATGGAAGATATCATTTCTATGTAGCATTGTTGGAAAGAAGCATAAATCCTAACATGACTGTAAAAACAGAGTCTAGCGATTTTGTTGCATGGGCTCATTTTTTAACTGTTCATGCATTTTTAAAAATCCTGGAGCTATGAAATAGCTCCACGAACTGACAGGACTCAGAAAGCATCGCTGTAACCACAAGGTAGTAAGTTTCTCTCAATTCTTTGAAAGGCTTTCCTTTATTTTTAATTATCCAAATTGCTTAAAATTCATTAAGTAAGAGGCCTAAGTAGAGGCACAGTGGGAGACAAACTATCACACACAATCCATGCCATAAAGGGGCTATGATCTAGTTGAGACAGACGGCTCCTACACACACAGAGACAACCAATTCTGTGAAGCAGTAAATGACAGATTCCAGATGGTGCTGTGCAGAAACATGGCTAAGATGTTTAGCAAGTGATGAGATTTCACCAGCTTCTTCTTGGAATTCTAGAAGGCAGGCCTGAAAGGTCTTCTTTTCATACATAAAGTCAGTAAAGGCAAACCATAAATGGGCACGGAATCTATATATCATTCAACAAACATATTTTAGCATTTCAGCAAGTGGTATTGCTAGGTCCTATGTTAGGGTTGTAAATATAAATCAGATCATACTTTGGGTTTTCAGTTATTCCTGCCATGCTATCTATTATTTTGGAATAATAATTCCTTCTTTAATACTTGTTAATCACTGAGTCCTTCACCTGTGAGTCAAGAAGTGAGGAAATAGAAAGGACTCAGTGAACAGATGACGTAATAACAGAGATTCAAAACGGTGACTCTCAAAGATTTTATTTGGTTACTGTCAGGTTGAATACATTAAAAATCTATTAAGTGCTTATAAATAAGTTTGAGCCTAAATAATACCAGATAAATAACAAATAAACACTGTGATTATTGGCATGAGGCACTACATGAATTTTGATAGATAAATTAATTTGTGTAATTTTATCTTGGCATAGACAGAGGAACTAGACAGCCTCTCATCTATTCTTGCATAAAGAGGAGTTGTGTCAATTTAATGTCTATTAATGGAAATTAATGTGATTATTGAGAATAAAAATGACAAGACAAAATTGCCTATTGTTTTAATGCTTTTACTTCCTCCTTCCCAACCAGGGTTTTGTAGGGGGATGAACTTACAGCTCTGCAGTGTACTGGGGGATATGATCTGGAATTTTGTTGAGTTTCTGATTGGAGCAATCTACGGTGGTCCCTTCACAGCGGCACTTTTCCGGGCAAGCTAAATCTGCAAAGCAGTCTCCACTTAATTTTGATCGATAATCTTCTGTACCTATTGAGAATTCAAATAAAAAAATAATAAAAAGATACTGAGTCTAAAGGTTAGAATATTGATTAATTTGTAGGAAGAAAAATATATAACTATAGATTCTGTTGCAGGGAGACAACTTGGGGCATTTTGGTCAATGGATGTCAGGAGAGGGTTAAAAGAAAGGCTTGGAATTTTCTGGAAAAAAAAAAGAGTGACCAGATTCACATGACAGGAAAACATTAATAAATTTGAGCTTTTCACAGCTGTACTTTCTGCTGATCCGGTTCTGACCAGTTCTAGCCTATTTCACAGCTAATCATACAATGGGTATTAATTGTTAAAAAGTTTATTTTTTTCCGAGTCAAGAATCGAAAATGTATCCAGTCTTAAACATATTCCTACATCTCGTTGTCAATTGGGGCTTTCAAGGCAAAATGAATGTACACAGGCTTTTAAATTTTCTATGGACTTTGACTATGCTCTCCCTCTCACATAATCTCAGAAATGCCTCAAAAGCCCTCTTTTTTTTTAGTTTGATTTTATAGAAAGAGACAAGTAAATCGTGATTTAAGCCTCAGCAGCTTGCCATGCTGTAGAAAGCTGCGTGACGTTCCATGGTGCTTGACGGAACCATGTTGTACTCAGACCTGGCAACCACATGGTTAGATCAAGCACAACAGAAAATCTCGCTACATTATCACTACACCGACCACTAGGCCAAAGGTAAGACCGAGAGGAGAGATGAAGGGAAGCAGGAGGAAAGCTAAAGACGTTCTGGAAAGGTAACACTGTTTACACGACATGCACTCTTCCCGCAGAATGTTTATGCCCAGAGTGAGAGTATTACTACCGAGGAGGTCCTGGAAACACAAAGAAGGGGCTATACGGAAAGGCGCCTCCGCCGTTCCTCAGAACTGCAGAGTGGAAACAACGGCTTTCGGGAGCAACGTCCAGGAAGAGGATGAGGTGAGCTACAAGGGCAACAGAGAAGCTCAACAGGTCTGTGGTTTCTTCTTGGGGAGAGAAAAAAAAAAAAAGAAAAGGTGCAAAAGACCGAGACCAGGAGAAGGTACATCAGGATTGAATAGGGAAGACATTATGTTTCAGAGCAGACACTTTTACTTACAGCCCAAATGGTGAATTCCTGCAAAAGTAAAGATCACCAAGAAGGAAAGAAAGACAGAGTAATCCCAATTAAGATTAACATACACAGACATAAGACTAAGCTCCCTTCCTTCTCTCTTTTTCACGGTATAATTAGAGAAAGATAGCATGTCGTAATGGGACTCATCATGCTTTGTAAAATTCTGTGATATTTTGAAGCATGATTGTCTTACAAGGAAAGCAAATGGAATAAAAGATGGATAGTACAAATTAAGCTTCTGTTTATTCCTTTAAAAGATGAACTCTCTGCGAGACAGATTTTGAGTTACCTCCATAGTACTGAGGATGCCGTATAGAATAGTATTAGGCAGGTACACACATAAAAGTGAGTGCAAAACAAATCACTGAGCTCCTCAGCAACTATCATTAGGATGTTGGATCCATCCTTCACTTGTGCTGTACACTTATTAATGACCTTTCCAACTCAGAATGTCACTGTAGTAAAAATGGAATGCAAAGGTCAGCATTGCATAAGAAGTTTGCAATGCTGAATCTGATAATTTCAATATGTTTGGCAGTTAGTGTCATGGTATTTATTGAGAATTCACTGTATTTTGATTTAAGGTTTACACCATCTTGAAATATTGAAATGAAGGTGTGCAAAGTCTAAGGGACAGACACACTGCATGTTTCAAATCATCTCCATTCAATGCAAGGACAATAACATTTATTTTATTGTGGTTCTTTAGGTAGGCTCAAATTTTAATTAAAATTTTGGGAAAAAGGAGTGGGAGGATCACAGAATCTTTCTGAGTCCTGGTTTTTACAATTATTAAGTAATGTGAATTAAATTATCTGAAAGTCAGAGTTAAGACATGACATCTGACATTAAAAAAAAAAAAAACTTCCCAAGACCTATTTTGGTTGCTGTTGGTTAAGAAGCAAAAAGTGTGTCAGAATTTATGAAAACAACTTGGCTTTGACCTGCTAGAGTGACTGGTGCCTGTAATGCCAGTACTTTGGGAGGAGGAAGGGAGGATTGCTTGAGCCCAGGAGTTTAACACTAGCTGGGCAATATTGATATCCTATCTCTACAAAAAAATAAATGAATTAATTAGCCTGACACAGTGGTGCACGCCTGTAGGACCAGCACTTGAAAGACTGAGGCAGGTGGACTACTGGAGCCCATGCACTGGAGGCTACTGTGAGCAATGAGGATGCCACTGCATTTCAGCCTGGAGAAAGAAGAAAAAGCCTAACTCAAAAGACAAAAACAAGTATAAAATATTCCCTTTACTTTTGTTGTTTACTTGGTGAATTAGAAATATTAATTTCTAAATTATTTAAGTATTTTTAAATGAAACAGTTTGAATAATTTGGTAACAACTACATTAATTACTGTAAGTATGTGACTTCAATTACATGCGAATGTCAATGAAATTAATGTTTTTTATTCTGTATGTGGTCTGTTGCTTAGAATATGTCTTTTTCTGGTTAAGCAACAGATATCAGATGACCTTCTATTGAATTAGGTAAAAAATAATTAATTTTAAATATTTCGAAGGAAGGCCAATGAACTTTTTTCAACATGTCACTTAATAGGCTGCCAGTATAATGTATAAGATATTGTTGATCATTCAAGCTCAAAGTAAGTAACATGACTAAGTCTGTTAAGTGTATAAAATTATTCAAATTTTAAATCAACGATGGCAAGCAACAGTATCTCCTTAAAACAGAGACTAAACACAGGCTTTGGGAAAGTCCACATGGCTTTGCATCCCAACCCTGTAGAAATATCTTTTTATCTATAGCTCTTAAAATGCATTATACACAGGAGATGGTGAATTTGGCCAAACAATACTTAACATATATTTCTTTATAATGATATAAAACAAACAAGTCAAAGAGGCATTTTACACAATTGGCAGGCAAGGAAAAAAGAAGTAAAGAAACATTTTAAAGAGCTAGCTCTACCATGGTCCGTCTTCAGAGTGTTGTGACTGAAGTGGCAAAACATTGCAATGACTTTTTCTTAGAAACATTTTATCCATATGTCTATATTATTCAAGGCATTTAGTCCCCAAGAACTTCTGATGGATGCTTCCACATCTGCCATCAATATTCTTTTTGTGGAGTTATGCTGTAATTCTGGATATGTAAGAATGTGAAGTCACAAATTAGACGCGACTGCATAGAAATCAGCAGACAATGCTGTTTTCATAGGAGAAGTAAAGCAAAAAGTAAAGCATCCCTTTTTGGTAGAAAAAACTATGAAAACGTAAATCTCATGATCGAAAAATGCAATTCTGTGTGTTGGTAACTGATTTCATGGAGAACTAGCTCTTTGACAACGGAGAAGGCTCTGTCTTTAAAACTAGCTCCACAGGCTATATTTTAAAAACAGGTTCAAAGATCAGATATACAATGTACGGAGAGAAGATGATTTCAGCAGAAAGCCATAGGTTCAAACATTTTAGCTACTGTGAGAAATTTGAGATAATGTGCCAAAGTAAAAGAGGGGAAAAAGGTGGAGTTTAATAATATGTGTTTAACATCAGAAGCTGCATGCAAAGGTCAGGTGTTCAGGAAACAGCTACAAGTGATCTATGCAGAAGGTCAGTCTAGCTACAGAGTATCCATTGTACTTTCAAAAGCATGCATATCAGAGTTTTAGGAGCTATATTCTATGAGGTGAGGAAAGGGTGTCTGCGGTTAGTCCTACCACCGAGCAAAACCTACCTGGAATGAAATACTGTTCTTTAGCTAAATAAAAAAAGAGACAAAAAATAGAAGATGCGCCTGAATGTCAGCAAGCAGAGACACGAGTTATTTTAGATTAAGAATGGACTAAAGTTACTACTGGCAATTAAGTGAAAAATGTATATTCACAGCTGTGGCTGAAGCGCCGTAAGGTACAGTGAGTAGTAAATGCATCTGTTTAAGGATAACAACCAGCTTGGCTTTGAGATTAGCTTTTTAGTATGAATTAACTGCCGAATGTGAAACACCCCTGGGATAGTTAGGTAGCATACTACTTAAAACATATAGAATTTATTCTATCATAAGTAAACGGAAAAGATTAGATCAAAGCAAATAGTAAATTTCAATGAAGTCTGTTTTCTATTTAATAGAAATACAATGCATTTATATTTAGTGCTTTATAAATAAATATAATGTTCCCAAAATGTTAAAAGATGGCCTTTGAGGGGAACCAGAACTGTTAACCTCACAATTCTATGCAAGAGGTTTCTACGCGATTCTAAAATAAGAGGCTGGGAGTGAGGAAATGCATTCGGATTAGAGAAGCCAGGATCAGGAGTTTCCCCACCGCCCCTCCGCTCCTGAGCCAGAGTATGAACCATGTAACCAAGCCTCAGCTCACTTTCTGAAGAAATAAAAATACAATTACTTTAAGTTGGTCAATAGTAAGATGCATGAGACTTAGCATACTTTAAAAGCATTCTCAGTTAGCTCCAAGGCCCCTGTTAAGTTTGAACCCTGGGAATCAACCTTGTCATCTTTTTTTTTTTTTGCAGTTTTTGGCCAGGGCCAGGTTTGAACCCGCCACCTCTAGTATATGGGGGCTAGCATCCTACTCCTTTGAGCCACAGGCACTGGCCAACCTTGTCATCTTTTTAACTTGGTTGCTAATCTACTTCCTCTGCTGTGTGTGGTGTGAAAAATGTTACATGTAGAGCTACTGTTACGAACTGTACCTACAGTTTTTTTATTTTTTTCTTCACAAGTAGTAGAAAAATAGGATTCTGTGCTACTTAGTAATCAGCCCAAGACCAGCTGCTTTTGTTACGTTTCGAGTAGCCATTGGTTTTAGTCACAGGGGACATGTCACGGGAAGTTAAATTACCTGAACAACGGAATTTCTTGCTTTTGATCTGTCCGATTCTTTTGTTCGCCAGCCGGCGGGGGCTGGTGCAGCGGGCACCACTGGTCTCGATGGGGTTGGTGTGCAGATAGTCCGCCAGCCACTTGAGATGGCAGTCACAGATAAAAGGGTTCTGGGCTAAATGCCTTTCAGAAACACACACAGAACAGTTTCATATATGACTGGCAGTGTTCTCGCATTCAGAGTGAAAACAATGGTCGTCAAATTGTATGCAAATTGTATGTACATACATAGTCTGAATAGCCCGAAGAGGCGAAAAGGTCCCCTTGGCGATGGTCTGAAGCTTGTTGTCATATAAGGAGAGAAGGTTCAGGTTGTGCAGATCCTGAAAAGCGTCCACCCGAAGGCAGTTTATCTTGTTGGCATTCAATAATCTGTTTGATCAAATAGTTGTAGAATTAACGTGCAGGATCTCATGAACTCACCTGTAAGATTTTGTCCTTCTTCACAAAACCCAATTAAGAAATACATGCCTTTTAACCTCAGTGCTAACATTTTAACTTTCATTATTTCTGTATCACAGTCTGAAGATCTGGGGTTTTGCTCAATAAAGCAAGACTCATGTTGTCAAATGAACCTCAATCTGGTGATACTTATTCATGTATCCAACAGAGGACAGAGATGGGTGAGATGTAGCCTCTGTTAGCAAGGACATTGTACCAAGGCCATCAAACATTGTTAGTCTTTCCAACTGCCCTGTGGGATAAAAAGTTATCTGTCCTCAGAACAGCAGCCAGCACGATCCTTCTAAGCACGGATCAGATCACGCCACTTGTCTCCCAGAACAGCACACCAGCTGCCAAGTGGATCTGGGCAAAAGCCTAACTCTTTCACACTAGGACTGCGGCCCACCCGTCTGAACGCTGCCACCTCCTAGTTCTCTCCTTTGACTGCCAGCGCCACCCCCTGGCCTCCTGGCTCTTCTCCAAACACAGCAGACTCTGCCCTTTCCTCTCTTTAAGGTTCTTCTCCGAGACACCTGCCCAGTAATTCTGCTTCTCTGAGTCTGCCCGTCTTCCCTTCTCAGCCCAGGCTCCCGGACATGCACTCTGATGTGTGTAACCCGACTCTGCTCACTTCCTGAACCCCAGCACTCTCAATTTCCTTTGCATGGACCTATTTTTTCCATTTCCTAAAGATGTATTTCTTTGTGTCATACAGAACTTCCTTACTTTGGTATTCCTAACTGTCACTGGTATGTGTTGCCCATACGGTATTATCATCCCTGGGTCAGGGATCTTTGTCTATTTTGTTGCCCTTGACTTCCCAGGTGCCCAGCACACAGGAGAGGCTCCATAAATATTCATGGCTGAATGAGGACTTCACAAACCTCTGGGAGAGTGACATGGTGCATGACCGCAGTCAAAGTTTCTGTCCTGTATTATAAACGCCTATTTAACATTTTAACACGCTATCCCACAGTCTCATTTATTCCCCACAAACTCTATCCATGTTCTGTAAATCTGTGGCCTGTGGACCAGACTCCGGCAATGTCGTCCTAGTAGGTCTGAGCTCACCTTTGGGGATCGACTCACTCCGGTGTCCACTTGGCTCAACCTTCTCCATAGCAGGACTTCTGCCCAAAGGAAGTCCTTGTCCCTCTGGGTTCTGAGGATGCTACTTGGTGTTAGGCTGACTTGTCACTGTTTTGCTTGGGTCTACTTGTTTACTCTGTGACAGTTCTGCCCTCTTCCACGGGACATTTTTGCTTGTATGTAGGTTTTTAATGGGGCATGTAACAAATTCATTGCATTTTTTTTAACATTTAAAAATATTAAGAAAGTAAAATGCTTTAGGTTACATGGACTGAGCCCCTTTGTAATGCATAAGTCCTGGATAAAGGTGTGTCCATCGCCCAAATAGTGTCCATAGAACCTTTAGGTAATTCTTTGCCCTTCCCTTCCTCCCCACTGATTGATTTCCACTTTTAATATTCTTTCTCTTCCTCATCATCTATGTCAAAGTTCTGATATATTGAATTTAGACAAATATTTAGTGTTCAAAGAATATATGCCACATGGTCTGGGCATTCCTCATTATATAATGTACTAAAAGGATGTTTTCCCTTATGACAATAAAATGATCTTTATCTTTAATTAACGAAAGGCACTCCCCTTTCACTATTTGCTCTTCAGGTGCCCCATACACATGGAAGGCCATGACTTCCTCCCAGGGCCCCTCTTCGCCTTTCTCTTTGATTCTCACCAGGAGTCAAAGTTCTATTCTGCTGCCCGATCTACCTGGCACTTTCTCAAAAGCCTGTGGGGGATGATTAGGGGTAGGGACTGACTAACCCCACACCTAGACACTCCAGGCCCCACACAAGTGATGCTGAGCGTGCTCCTCAGTCCGTGAGGCACCTGAGGAGGGGAGGTAGAAAGCAGATACCAGACTGAGGCGAGAGTCGGGGGAAGCAGAAGAAACCCAAACAAGATGTTGTCTTGCACCAGCCTGCATCTAGGCAGTCTCACCTCACTTTGAAATCTGTGTGGCCTGCCGGGCCTGGTGGCTCACACCTGTAATCTCAGCACTCTGGGAGACCAGGGTGGATGGATCCCTTGCACTCAGGAGTTTCAGACCAGCCTGAACAAGGGTGAGACCCCTATCTCTACTAAAAACAGAAAAACCAGCTGGGCATGAGGCAGGCTACTATAGTCCCAGCTACTCAAGAGGCTGAGGCAAGAGGATCACTTGAACCCAAGAGTTTGAGGTTGCAGTGAACTTCGATGCCATGGCACTGGCACTCTACCAAGAGTAAAGACAGATGAAAGCTATGAGGCCTAAGGAATGGAAACCATTGAACGCCAGGTGGCCTTTGAAGTGTTGGTGGTAGATAGCACAAAGATCATGAGAGTGACTGTAAGTCTGTGGCATGGAGGGTGATTCCAGCCAAATACAGGGAAGTTCAGAGAGGTGAGTGACCAGTAGGCGACTCCTGCCTACAGCATCAAGCTCTATCTAATTTGTGTATAGACATCTATAACCTGACGAGAACCATTTTACTAAACCAAAACCTAAATCTGATAATTTTACTACAAAGACTAAAACAAACCCTGAAACCCAAATAAAGTCATTAATTCACAAAATCCGTTTATTTCATGACTGACTAGTCTATTATAAATTCATTGCATTATGGAGCATTAAGGAAACAGAGAGAGCAGGACACGATGGTTCAGGTCTATAATCCCAGCAATCTGGGCAGCCAAGGTAGGAGAACTGCTTGAAGTCAGGGGTTGGAGACAAGCTTAGGGAATATAGTCAGACCACATCTCTACAAAAAAAATTAAATTATCCAGGCACGGTGGTGCATGCCTGTAGTACCAGCTACTTGGGAGGCTGAGGCAGGAGGATTGCTTAAGCCCAGGAGTTGGATACTGCAGTGAATTATGATTATATTATTGAATTCCAGCCTGGGTAACAGACCAAAAACCTGTCTCATTCAAAATAGAAAAAATAAAATAAAATAAAAGAAAGGAAAAGGGAAAGGAAAGAGAGAAAGGTGAAGGGGAAGAAGAAGGGAAGGGAAGGACAGAGAGAGAACAGAGAGAGAATGAGAGGGGTGACAGGAAAAAGAGCACTCCCATAGTAAGGTTGTACATTGTTTTGTTAACGTTTTGCTTCACTGGTGTGTGTGTGTGAACAGGGTGTGATGTAAAACAGATTTCTGCACAATGGTGAAAAAGTTTAGGACATGGATAACAAAACATAATTAGAAACATAAATGTATTAAGTAATGAATAAACTCTGTATTTAGGAAGATTATGAGATTAGGAATGTATGTTTACCAAATAAAAAGCAACAAATTCATATGCCCCAAGGAGAAAAATAACATTTTAAACTGAAGGATTTTAAGGAAGACAGATAGTGAGCTAATTTGGGAAAGGAAATTACATCACACTTATCTTTATATCCAAAATATCTACTGTAGTCTCTGCTCCAAATGAGATATTCTATTAATGTTCAATGAATTAAACAGAACTGGAATTATACAACATCAGCAGTCTTAGGATTGGCATGATTGACAGATGCAGGAAAACGCCTGGGGGCAAGTCTGCTTCCTGCAAATATGATGAGTAGCTACTTCCCTCAAGACAAATCAGTAGTGATGATCCTCCAAGCAGAGCAGTCTTGGATTTAGAGATAATTCTCTTGCTAGCGAGAGTCTAAGGATGACTTCTGTGTTCTAGGTCCCTGCCATCTCTGTGTTTGGGGACGTTATTCCAATACGACAGCTCTTGCACGTTATCTGGACCAAGTTTGATAAGCTTATCACTGTAACTTCCTCAGTTCCTACTACTGCTCACATCAAAACAGAGATGTTTCACAAGGGCAGGGCTCGGGTAAGATTTATAAATGATAGAGCAGACAGAATGCATTTGTTCACAACAGGGTAGACGAGAAAAGCTCCGGGCAGTTCCAAAAAGTGGTGTCCTCGAGGAATGGGCCATCAATATGAGCTTTACTAAACTAATCTTTTCTATTTCATTAAAGTATATTCAAATTTTAAAAAAAAATTGTATTAAATCATAGCTATACACATTAATGCATTTACGGGGTACAATGTGCTGGTTTTATATACAATTCAGAATGCTTACATCAAACTAGTTAACATAGCCTTCATCTCACTTTCTGAATTACTGTGTTAGGACATTTATACTCTACACTTAATAGATTTGACATGTACCCTTGCAATATGCACCATGGGTGAGGTCCCAACGATTACCTCCCTCCACTCATCTCCCCTCTTCCTCTTGGCTGTAGTTGTGTTATACCTTTCATATGGAAGTGTGGGTGATTATATACTGGTTTCATAGTAGAAATGAGTTTTAAGCCTCCTTGAAAACATGAGATGTTAATCTGACTAATACATTAGTAGGTTTAACCGAAGTCAAAAAAGCCAATACTTACAGGAGCTGTAAGGAAAACAGTCCTTCAAATAAACTTTTGGGGAGTTCTGTGATTTTATTTCCATACAGGACCCTGGGGAAAAAAATGTTTTAAAAGAAAACATCAGACACCAAACTTGCATAAGAAATTTATCTAATCTATATATGTATTCAGACAGAGGAGACAGTAGCACTCAATATATTATAACAGCTACAGTTTGATAAATAAACTTCATTTGCAAATGTCTTTTGCCTGCTTGTGAATCAGAGGTATGTTCAGTGGAGAAAATTTGGAAAATATGGAAAAATAAGGATGATGACTAGGCAGTATGATAATTCATAATTTCATTGTCTTTTCATAGAAATGTTCCCTTTGAAGTTGTCTACACACATACACACAAGCGCACACACACCTACACAATTTATATGTAATGCAAGCACACTGTGTATAAAAAGAAAAGAACACTAATGACAGAATCCTTAAGAAAAAGGTGAGTTTGGGGCTCATAATACTGGTAAATGGTGGAAGGAAATGATATAAAATGCAGCTTCTCTTTTAAACATATAAAGTATACATGCTTGGGAAATGTATGGTCTGTGAAGAAGTGATTGGGAGTATGAATTTAAGATAATTTTTGAAATTTATATTCCCTCAAAATAACATAAACTGGGATGAACCACCATGTTCAGATACTAAAAGTCACCTCTGAAGAGCAGGACAGTGACTTATCACCTCAGGACCCTGCAGCAGGGCCCGGGTTTCAGATGAGGGTTTGTACAGTGAGGCTCCAAGATTGGATTGATGAGTGGAATTATGATAAATTAGCAGAAAAACAAATTTGGAAACGTAAGTAACAAAAAAGATGAAGTGACATGATTTCAAGAGCAAATGAATGGAAATCATTTACTAAGAATAGGTTTACTGTAATGACCATCTGTTTTTATTGCCAAAATGCAGGAAAAGAACTAAGTGCATTAAAAGATAAAAATTATATTTTGAGGGGACATTTTGGCAACATGTACAAGAAGTCATAAAGATGCTCACAAAAATTTTCATTCACTAGTTTTACTGTTAGAATTTCAATTCTGTAGAATTGACCTAATAGACATGAGCACAATATTTTACATACAAAATGTTCATCACGGCATAATGTGTAATGGTGAAAAATTAAACACAAATAAGGTTTTCAAATCACCAAGTACGTTAGTTAAACACATATTTCACATCATCAACATCAAGTTTGAAAGAATCTCTGGTGACATGAAAGTGTTTATGATATAACATTAATTAAAAAAGAAATACAAAGTAGTATATTTCAGTATTACATTAATGTTTTGAGAAAATCCACCCCTATATACAAAAAGTAGAAAATATTTACATCAGGTGACATGGCACCCAGAGCTAACTTGAATTTGCAACTATATATTTTTATGTGTTTTTAGATTGATAAGCATGCATTACTTTGAAGAATCATAAAAATATTCTTTAAAAAAACAAACTGATACCGTGATTACCATGATATACACACAGAAAAGAAAAATCTGAAATGAGAGTCTAAATAATTAATATGTTTGGTCCTACTGCAAGATTTCTATCTGAAAAAGAAGAGACTAAGGGCACAATGAAGATAAATACCAGTCAAAGAAAAACGTTTGCCCTTCTAAGACATCAGGGAAAGGTGGGGTAGATCACAAAACAGGAGGATTGCAAGGGGATCAATCCAGCCGGGTGCGATGTGGTATACAGAGCCATTCCATTTCTCTCTTTAGAGTCTACTGATGTAGCCATAACATATAACATAAAATTTCATCTCTACAGACCATAGTTTATTTAGAAAGGCAAATCAATTACAAAAGAAATGATTTAAAAAAAAAATCAAAGAAGAAAAGAGAGAATTACATATTGTCAGAGGCAAGGTAGAAAAGGAATTAAGGAGAAAGCATGAATAAATCTATTGTGAGCTTAAGAACAAGAGAAGAGGAGGCATTGAGATATATAACTGAGCAGATTGAGACGGCAATTCAGGAAATTCAATTCAATATCACTAGCCAGTTCACTGGACCGTGGATATTTAGCACTTACTATGGGTCAGCAACTTTGCTAAGTTCTTGGTGGCCAATTAAATTGAACGCAACTGTTATTCTTCAAATGGCCACCATGTGTCCACATATCAGGTGCAGATATAACTGAGTGAATTAAAAGGCAATCCAAGAGAGTCATTTGGAATACTCAGAGAGTCTCATGTTTTGATTCAATTAACAATTTAGAAGGAACAAAGAGGCTTGTAAATGGTGGGGGTTCCACTCAAGAATAGAAGGATAAACAATTTGGTAGGAAACTTTTTTGAAAGTTGGCTTCAAAGGTTGAGTCAAATGGCATGAAAGACAGACTACCCAGGATGTGCATCTATTTATATATCAAACTATTTTTGTCCAGCAAATCATTCCATTTTAAGATGATGTTAAAAAATAATACATGCTTATTGTTAGTGAGACAAGACGGGTAAATGGTGAATAGAAAGAGAAAATCACCATAGAATAGAGAAAATCAGGTGTTAGTGGCATATGTGGCATCCACGATATCATCGTAAAGCAATACTGAATGTAATGGAAATTAAACGGGAACGAAATCTATTAATGAGGGAAAGGCATATTATTACATACAGATAGAAAGCGTAAAAGGCCAGTGAAAACTTATGCGGTATTTTTTAAAAGAAAAAGAAAAAGAAAAAGAAACGTGGGCAGTGCCTGTGGCTCAAAGGAGTAGGGCGCGGGCCCCATATATTGGAGGTGGCAGCTTCAAACCCAGCCCCAGTCAAAAAAAAAAAAAAAAAAGAAAAGTTAAAAGAAATGAAAGATAGAAATGAATTTGGCTCAAAAGAAAATAAATAAATGAGGGATTTGGATAATATCATTCAAATGCCAAGAAGAAGAAACTGAGTACCTTCCCTATAGACTTCTACATGACTCACAGTCAGCACATCATACACAGTATAGAATCGTGCTGAGAGAGAAGTTTTTATAGCCCTTTGAAACAACAGGGAAATCACAAGGCAGCTCTTACACCTGCTACATGTGTTGTCAGTCCTTTTACTATTTGTTATTATTTTATATCACTTATTACATGATAACTTACACTACGATCAATTGTAACTATGTATGTGTTAATAAACATAATGCAATTTGTTGAGCTAAGGGATGAATTATAATAAGTTCTGCTTACTTTTGTTAATTTCTTTTTATCTTTTCTTTTAACTCAACCTCAAAACAGTCAATTAACATTATTAAGGCAAGAGCCTGATAGTAAAATGGCAAGCAAGCCATATAAATGAGAGTTCTCCGGGGACTGTTCTCCTTCCTCACATTGAATGGTTATCTTTGAGGCACAAAGACGTAAAGGACCAGAAATCAGTTTTCTGATTTGACTTCTGTTCTGTCCTTCAGTAAGGCTGGAAGGTTGTCAATGTCATCTCTGGGCGGAATTGCTGTCCAGGACGGTGTTAAGAGTACTTTATGAACAAAATAATTGGGTGATTTAACTGAGTTTTATATTAAAATTTATTCTTTTAGAACTGACATTCTAGCCTGGGAGCCATACCTGACTACACTCTACATTTTCTGTCCAAAGTTCTTCCTCGAAGTTTGGTCTTCCTATAGCCCAAACTTGCCAAAACAACAAAGCTGAACCCAAGCACACACTGCAGGGGAAGTGACAGTTTTCCATTTTCTTTCTTTAAATTTTTGAGCAGACCAACATAGTGGCCTGCTCACCCATGTGTCCACATGAGCACCACTGTCCAGCTGTCCCCTGGCTGAGCGTGACAGCACACTGTCCCCCATAGGCAGGGGCTTATCAGGGTCTTGC